ATAATGTAATGGGCATTATGTAGTGTGAAATGTATAGAACTAAGAAAGGGTAAAAAAAATAAAGAAAAAAAGAAAAGTCATTTTTTAAATAATAATAATAATTGGGGATATCTAGGACTTTTAGACTTTGATGTACTGGGACACTTCATCCAAAACAATGCTCCAATCAGAGAGTGAAGGAGGACACAGGAGTAGATTTATGGAGCTTTAATGTCCTTTCTTATATCTTTGTATCTAATTTGAATCTTATTTCTAACCGAAATTATTGTAACAGATTAACTTCAGAACATTTACACAACAATTAAGGAACAATTAAATAATAAATAAACATGTGTACAAACCCACGTCTATCATAGACACAGATGTAGGTAGGTAAAGAAGTGAAGCTACAGGAGTTAAGGACCCCTGAGCTGCCTAAGAATGCCTAAATAAACAGTTACTGAACTAACACTTACACTTTGGAATTTCCAACAATAATAATACATTTTATTTATACTGCGCTTTTCTAAACATTCAAACATGCTGTACAAAAAATACAATTAAAAAGAGTATTTTTAAAAAAAGCAATCGTAAGCATGATGTAAAAGCAGTTTAGATGTCTCAAAGTAGCAAAGTTGATATTCATCTGAAAATGTTATGAGCTTGGTTATTAAAAGCATGCTTCCAAATTCGTGTCACAAGTTGTTTACTGCTGAGTTTTTTGCCTGTAGGCTATCATAACTCATGTTTCCTGGGTCACCACCAATTTTCACATCTGTTATATCTTTTTAATATTTTAAAAATGTACTTAAAAGGCCCATTTTATGCTTAAGTTGTGTTTCATTTCCTTCACACATGTTTAACACACAATCCCTGCATATTTAGACTGACTTCATCTCTCAAACAGAAACCTGTTCCGCTTTTGAGACATCATGTGGTAATACAGGAAGTGCTCCGCTGTGTTTTTAAACTCCATACACTTTCACTAAGAATCATTTGGATCATTTCAGCCTTGGAATTACCAGTCTCTACTAAAGAAAAGGTAACACTTGAAAAAAGGTTAACTACCACTACATTATATCACAAAGAGGAACAGAGCATTTTGAACTTTGGGGATGTTTGAACTTTTATTGATTCAAAGCTGATCAGTGCTGATATGAAGGATAGTAGAGTTACGTAACAAATTGGATCTTGTTTAATAAGTTAACATTGTTTTTCCATCCCTACTCTGGTATTGGTTAATATCGGGTATCAGTTAATAAAAAAGCCAAAGTATATATATTTCATATCATTATTGGAACTGAAAAAGCTGGATCAGTGCATCCCTAATCTTGACATTCCTACAATATTTGACTATTTTTCTATTAAGTTTGTATCTGTAACTGTAGATGTGGAGTGTCTGTTTATGTAGTCCATGAGCAGTTTCCAAACCAGATCCCTAAGTAGAACATAAACAAAGTCCAGTTTACAGAAAGGGTGCACTTGTTGGTGGCTTTATTGTTGGGCCTGCTTATTTCCTCACTGTATAAGCTGATTGAGAGAGAGCAAAGGTCCAGTGCAGCCAGCTGACTCAGTGACAGCTAATCTCTGATCTGTCTCAATTGTGCTCTGCTAACAGATTGACGCCAGCACCCTTTGTCTCCTTGTTTGCCTGTATCTCCATTAAACACGAGTCTTCTATAGAACTGTGTATGTTAAACAGCTCCACTGACACGTAGCTGAGGTGCTATCTCACTGTGAAGATGTCAATTTGAAAAGTGTCACATTTTTGAGTTGCGATTATTTTGAGAACGAATGTGGTATGAGTTAAAATTGACAGCAATTATTACTTGGTCACAGGCAAATTTTTAACTCTTTTGCTTTTCAAGGTGCAGTGCGCAACATTTCTAGTGGAGAGTTTGTTTGTCATGTGCTTGTCTCCATGGAAATATTATTGCTTTGTCTAGATGTACAGTATAGATTAAACCTATCACGAGGAAGACAAGCAGGTCACAACACTATGCTACATTACAGTTCTGTTTCAGGAGTTATTTTATTTTTGAGCAATAGAATAATGAATAAATGCTAGATGTATATGTTTAATGTCATACCATGGAACATTCCAGGCTAAGCAATAACATCTCAGTGGAAATATGTAGGTCTCCACCAGAAAAGTTGCGCAGTTCACCTTTAATGCCCATAATTTATGGTCTTGTTTTCATACATAAATAGGTTTGTGCTTTCCATGCTTATTTAGTGCTCAGTTTTTCCAAACCCGGTTAACTGGAACTGGTGACTAAGCTGGCAAATGTGTATTTTTCACAATGTTACTTTACTAATAAGTAGGCATGTAACAATAACTGAAATATCATGATATCAAAAGTCTCTCAGTAATATCACGGGCCATCACAATATATCAAATCTCAAGTTTCTTTGCTTTTAAATTGAACTTTTAAATCTTGACTCTTTGGTTTATGACAGAACCAAAGGCGGGCCAAGGCATTTTTAAAGGAAAAAGTACTATCTTCACAATTTGGTTAACCTCCACAAAATATTGAGATGCATCGTGAAAATATTGTACAGAGAAATTTGGATATTGTTACATCCCTACTACCAAAAAGACCATCACTTTCTAGAACTTGGGCTCAGATATTTTATATGTACAAAAAAACATAATAAATATATATCAGCTGTATACAAGAGGTCATAAGGAGAAACAGTGCAAAGATTAAATGCTGATTGACAGAGGGTTTTCTATTACATAATGGTGAGTTGTTGTATAGTTGAGTGGAGTATGGTCTGACTCTAGTCCTGTATCTCTCACTGTTTGTGCAGAGCTGTAGGAGTCTGTTGGAGAATGAGCTCATCTGTCCCTCCATAGTCTGTTTTTGTGGTTAGATATAGTGCAACATTTCCCATATCAGTAATATAAATGATCAGGTTTGCATTTTTTTTTTGCATATTTGGTGTTATTTCATCTCTTAAACCTCAAACGAATAATGCAACTCTCTAGTCTCTTGCCCATAGATTGTATAAAGAAGTGGACTAAGGAATGTCACCCATAGCAGTTATACGAGCGAATTTGGCGCCATTTCCATATTGGGAATAGGAATTTATTTATGTACAAAATAGTGAAGTAAAAACATCAGGATTATGTAGAGTGGGTTAATACGAGCATTTTACGACCAAAATACAGAGGCTCGCAGCAGCAGTTACAGCAAAACTAAAGTCAATTGGAAACCAAGTCGATGGAACCAAAACGCTCCCCTATGAACGTTTCATATTTGCAATGCGGCGGCTAGCAGGTTAGCTATGGCCATTTATATATACACTCTATGCTCTTGCCCCTTTCATTTCAGTCTAGTTTCCCCTGCCACATGTTTTTACAGCCTTGGAATGGAGGGTTATCAGGTCAAAGACAGTGCTCCCTCTGGGCTACAGCGGATAAATCCTGCTCCACGGGCTGTACAGTGATATGGAGGCTACAGCATTATAATCCTCTGTTCTGAATACGCCAAGTATTGGGGTGAGAGGAGGTGAGAGGAGGCTACAGGAGGCTAGAGGAGCTCTTGTATGTGTGTGTTTGTGTGTATGTGTGTGTGTTGTCGTGCCAACCGCATCTACTGCCAGAGAACTTCACTGTTGGAGTGAGACTGGGGGAAAAACCTTTACTGAGAGAGTTGAATCAGTATATTGAGAAAAGATGGACAGTTTTTTTTTGTTTTGTTTTTTTCAAACAGGGAGCAAGCAGTACTGATCCAAACCAATATCTGATTCAGGGGGAAAAAAAACAAAAAACAGATACAATGTTTATTTTAAGTGTGCTTGAATTTGTAATTTAATAATATGCTACATGAGAGAAAATGTTATTCATTTTAGTTTTCAGGTTGAAGGCAAGTGCAGTTATAACACTCTTTGTAGTTATTTGAATATTTCTAGTAAAAGCTTGAGTAGTACAACAACCCTAGACAACTACTTAATGACAACGCATTATGCAAATTTGACTTTTAAGAGTTAAGTTATAAATCATGGTGTCTCCTCATCATTAAGTCATTCAGAGTTGTATTAAAGTGAGTCATACATGTTTACTTACGGGTAGGATGAGGCAGAGTCTACGAGATGAGACAATATTTCGACATCTTTGTAATCAATACATTTTGTGATTCACAGTTCTCAAGTTCACAATTTGGCCTCACCAGTTTTCTGATTTACTTACTTTCTGATTTACTTTATTTACTTTTTTGAAATACAGCTTCTCAAGAAATAGACCTGGCCACAGCTAAATCCTCTTTTTGTCTAATAAAAATGTAGATACATGAGAAGAAATGTCACCAAGTAATTTTTTTGTCTTCTAAGGTCTTGTGGCACGAGATCTTGTCCCATCTTAATGTTGACCTAAAGCATGTCCATAATTAAGTTACATTTAAACACAAAAGCACTCTTCCACAGTATAACTCATGATAATATTGTAGTTGTGAGTGTTTAATCCGCCTCTGCACTCTCTTGTTCCTCTCTTCCATCAGTCTCCTCCTTCTCCTGTGGCTTTAGCGTGCTGGCTCACTGCCCTCGTTACAGGGGTGGAGCCAATAGCTGCTGACCTCCGCTCTGATTTATGAGTTCCTCCCTGTCCTGCGTTCCCCTCACTCTCAGTTTACCCAGGCAGTAGATCAGACACACTCACTCCCCACTGGACCTCACACTCCCCTGAACACAAGCCCAGCCCCCCGTGTCCACCGCCAACGTCCCACCCTGTAAACAAACCCCACATATGCAGCACATGTGGAGCTCCCTGTTGGCTTTGGCTGTGGGCTAAAGCCTGGATTTCAAACATATACAGAGCAGAATAAATACTTTCATGTTTGGAGAATAGAGTGGGATAGTGTTTTTGCGATTAAGGTTGTTCAAGTTGCTAAGTGATGTGTTCAGGAAATGGCCTCTGTATCAAAGCCTTCATATGAGTCACATGTCTTCCTTAACTCTGGGTGTGTCAGTGTTCATCATCATAAGATTCCATCTCACACTCTTTTCATTTCTTTTGTCAGGGCTGGACTCTGAGGGGAAACCAATGAGCTGAAGACGTCCCGTGCACACTTTTCTACCTTGTGTCGTCAACTGAAGAGGCAGCCGGGCTGCCATCCTCACCATGTGCCAAAGCAGGAGAGGACACAGCCCTGCCCCATAGACACAGACTTGTGCAGTGTTCCAGTGGCTCCTCTGTCCCAGGATGAAGAAGGCGGGCTCATGGACAGCAGAGGAGGTGTCGCGCTGGCTGACAGAGGAGGGCATGCCTGAGTATGTGGATGTTCTGCAGGGGACAGATGGACCAGCTCTGCTCAGACTCACTCCAGACGACTTCAGGAAAATGCCGCTGTCCCTCGTGTCCTCTGACGGAGGACAGCAGCTGTTGGAGCGTGTGCAAACACTGCTCATTGAGAATCATATCGAGACTCATAAAAATGGCCATGCAAACGGGCACGTCGGGGGTCTGCCCAACGGGACCGCCAAGCCCCACAGGAACGGCACTCTGGGAATGAGGAACTACGACAAGGAGATGGTGCAGATCCCTATTCCCACTAAAGAGCTGCGCTCCTCCTTCCCCACAGAGTGGCCCAAAACAGCAGTGTCCTTCATCTATGCCGTGGTGTGCTTCGTCACCACCACTGTGGTCATCTCAGTGGTCCATGAGAGGGTCCCATCCAAAGAGCACACTCCTCCTCTGCCTGATAAGTTCTTTGACGTGTTCGACAGGAAAGAGTGGGCCTTCTCCATCTGTGAGATCATTGGGATGCTGCTGGTCTTACTGTGGTTTCTCCAATGGATGCTGCTAAAGCACAGGTCAGTGGAGCTCTTTGGTTTGATGTTCTGCTACAGTCTGGTAACTCAGTCTGATGAACCTCTGCTCTGTTCCAGGTCAATTATAGGCAGGCGCTTTTTCTTTATCGTGGGCACTCTTTATATGTATCGGTGTATCACCATGTACATCACCACTCTGCCTGTTCCTGGGATGCACTTCAAATGTTCTCCAAAGGTCAGTCATGCTCTTCTAGACTATACTGTATCTGTGTTTAACTGTCTCTTGACTCCTAATAGTTTTGTGCTTAGATCATCATGTGAATCTACTCAGAACAGTGCTTTTGGAACATAATCATGTCCTGAGCCAGGTCATGCATTGACAAGACTCTAGTCATTGTGGGAAGATGTTGCAACATTTGATCTGACCGAATTTGCATAAAGTGGAACCAAGGACTCTTTGTGAAATGAACAGTGCAAATGCATTAAACATTACACAGTTGTATTTACTGGTGCATACTGCTCTTATACATTTTTTTTTTTTTTTTTACAATAGATTATGTAGAATATGTTACTGGTTGAGGCTTTTGACCTCCCCTTAGGGCTGAAACACTTGAATAATTTTATTGTAACTTGTCGATCATTTTAAATAAGATTCAGCAAATTTAGCATTCAAATAACTGTTATGCAGACTATACACAGACTCTAGACAGGAATATTTAAGGTGGCCTTAAGTAACTCTTCTGGAGTGGAGCCACCTGCTTGTTATTCCCACAGGGAGTTGGGTCTTCACAGATTTGACCTTTTCTCCGTGGAAATAGACACATTTAATGCCGTATTGTGGAGCATTCTAGACAAAGCCATAACATCTCCATGGACACAAGTAGGTAACATACCCTCCTCCAGAAAGGTTACATAATGCACCTTTTCAGCCACATCACTTTGTCTGATTTTATAAAATATCATATTCTCAGGCCTTTCCAATAACTAATCAATACAGTTCCAGTATAGCTGATCTTGAACTGACAGTGAGTGATGTGAATATGGTGAAACAGTACATTTATATCCCTTCTGTTTTGTGTTTCAGCTCATGGGCAACTGGGAGGCACAGATGAGAAGAGTCATGAAGATGATCGCTGGAGGTGGTCTCTCCATAACTGGTTCCCACACAATGTGTGGAGATTATTTGTACAGTGGCCATACAGTTATGTTAACCATAACATACCTCTTCATCAATGAATGTGAGTAGTTTAAACCGCTCTTCATGTTTCAGTGGTCCTTATTCTGAATTGTTCACTATTTGTGATCTTAAATAATATATTATTTGAGCTATATCTAGTTAAACTCTGACATTTTTGTGGATGTGATTAATACATTAGTGGCTAGTGGTTGGTAACGGGATGTGGCACTTTTGTGGCAGATTAAGTTGCTGTATGTCTTAAATATATGTGTATATGCCAGTTATATTTTACTGGTTGTTCACATTTCTCTGTTCTGTGACCATCTGCTCTGAGCTGCATCAGGAAGTGCAGAGGAAGTGTCTCATATCCTTGTGGACTGACACGCTCCTCACATGAGCACTTCCTCTGTCGTGTCAGACAAGTTAAGACCCGAGATCACCACTAAGTGTCACAAAGTTTAAGTACTTGACCAAGATATACAAACACATTGCTCATTACAGCTCTGAGTAATCTGTCCCTACTACATCACATACACAGTTGAAGATGGTGTTGACATCCCTGACTTATAGTGATAGTGACATCTGGTGGTAGAAATGGAGACTTGCTCTTAAAGGTCCTATATTAAACAAAATGTTATAATGTTGTTAGCTCCTCAAAACATATCTAGAGCTGTGTTTTGTTTCAGTCACACGTTTGTATAATCTTGTTATTATTAGTCTGTCTACATCTCCAGTGGTAAAAATCCGCTTTTCCATGTCATGAAGCGGTAGTTTTCAAATTAACAGCTACCTTTTACCTTTACTTACGTGAATAAAACAAAACACAACTTCAGGTATGTCTTGATGAGGAAACAAGATTATAGAAGAATATGGGCCTTTTAACATGCTGTGTGTGTTTTGCAGATTCTCCCAGGAGGTTATGGTGGTACCCCTGGATTTGCTGGGTGCTGAGTGCTGTGGCAATCTTCTGTATCCTCCTGGCCCATGACCACTACACTGTGGATGTGGTGGTGGCCTACTTCATCACAACCCGTCTCTTCTGGTGGTACCACTCCATGGCCAACCAGCAGGTCAGCATCCTCTGTTTCAGACCCAAGGAACTCCCGTGCATTTGTTAGGGATGGGACAAGATCTCTTGAGACAAAATTACCGTAAGATTGTACACCCAAGGGAAAAATTATCTTGTCACATTTGGATTGGACATTAAAAGGGGTTCATTACAGACAAGTTACATTTCTTGAGAAGCTGTAGTTCAAAAGAGCAGTGCTGCAATGATGGCAAAAAATGTTAAATAAAGTAAAGAAAAATGGTGAGGCCAGAACTGTGGGCTGCAAAATGTATTTATTATATATTATGTCAAAATCTCATTTTGTCTCGTTCTTGTGGGCCTAATCTCGTGTCTTGTCTGATCTTGCGTATCTCGTCCCATCCCTAGTATTTATGGTTTGATTTACGGCTGTAGTCCTTTAGCTAATTAATCAATTAATCTTTCAGTGGTGTCTTAGTCCACATTTTTTATTAGTCGACTAATTATTTAGATTTTATGGATTTATATGGGACAACAGCAGGTATTAGTGAGGTGATTTACACAGTGTATTAATAGTTGTTATTGTCTTGTGAGTGCTGTTTTGGTCAGATACATGGTCAGGTCTTAGTTTTTTAATAGCAGTATTTCCTGTACCAAACTCTCACTTGAATAAAGAAATTCAAACATGACAGCAAAAAAGCAAATGCTTGAGAGCACCCAAAATCTGTCAACAAAGGATTTTTATATCCTGTATACTGCTTGCGTTAATGCAGGAAAACTGTAATCCTGTTTGGGATTCTGTATGAGCTGTTTTGCAAATGTCAATTTTCAATAGAGAAGTGTGTCAACCAAGAAGTACTTTAGTTGCATTTATAGGCAAAAGTGGGTGGGATGAATTCCATATCATTCAGTTTGTTTTTTTATTTTTATGTTTGTGTAGTCCTATTATTATTTCTCTGTCTACATCTCCAAAGCTCAAAATGCTCTTTTCCACCTTGTGATGTCATGAAGCTGTAGTTTTCAAGTGAACAGCTCCCTTTTACATTTAGTTCAAAAAAATGTCAGTGTTGAAATGATCCAAATTATTCTAGTGAAGGTGTATGGAGTTTAAAAACAGTAAGGGCACATTGTACTTTTTTTTTCTTGTGTAAAATGTTTAATTTCATATAATTACTTTTAATTCCTTAATTGTGCATTGCACCACTTTTCTGGTGGAGCGTCCGTCACCTAATTGTCTCCATGGAGACTTTTCTTGGAATGTTCCATGGTATGACATTAAACACATTTATCTATTATTTACAGGGGTTTCAAAAAGTGCTCAAAAATACAATAATTGTCTCTGAAAATAGGGTTGCCGCTTCACAGAGGTGACCTGGCCTATTAGTTTCCCTTGAGATAGAAACATTTATTCTCTATCGTGGATCATTCTAGTCAAAGCCTCCACCAGAAAAGTTGTGCAATGCACCTTTTAACTTGTGCTGGATAAAATATATAATTTGTTTTGTTTTTTTATTTTTCAGTCACTCAAAGAGACGTCTCAGAGTAACCCATTCTCGCGGGTTTGGTGGTTTCGAATGTTCCAATACTTCGAGGAGAACGTCCGTGGCACCGTCCCCAGGAACTACCAGCTGCCCACGTGGAGAGGCGTGCAGTGGGGCCGAGGGGTCCGGTACAGCAGGCTGGACCTCCCATGAGCACTAGAGAGACAGACAGAGAGAAAGGGAGAAAGGTGGATCAGGACTTCCAAAAGTGCAAAAGAGTTCCCACTGCACTTTCAATGTAGCGCTGTCTCTTCACCTCCACTAACAGACCTGTGCAAATGGGTAACACTGTGACCCACTTAGGATTTTTGTTTGTATATATATTTTTAAGTTGTCTCACATCCTTTTCCTGTCCAACAAAAAGCACTAATTTATAAAGGTTTAGTGTCTTTACAAATGATCCTGCTTATTTTTAGCAGAACGACAAAGCATTTCAGCAATGTTTTCTCTTGCAGCACAAAAATGTAAATAATCATGTCTTCATATTCTTACAATTTTTTAGTGCAAATTGTGTCAATCAAAAGCTTGTTTGATAACCAAAATGCCATACGCATTTATTCTTTTTATAGCAGATTACTTTTTGTAAACTGTACTTGCTAAGATGAGTCGAAATGCAAAAACAGAATTTTCTAAGTATGTTGAGACTTTATTTTTCAAAACTCAAATGATGTCCAAGATTTTTAGATTTTTACCTTTTTCAAGATGGACAGCAAGAGCGTACAGAGCTAAAATAGTATAGCATTTCTCCAGTGCCTTCCTTCGCTTGATTGTAAAACAGTCCAAGTTCTATGTGTCTTGTGTCTCTGTGCTGCTGTTGCACCCTCACAGCAGCAGGGGGCGGTACTTTACAATAGTTTCAAAATCTTGTTCCCATGAATGTAAAATCAACAAAGCCAGCCTTATCAGAAAATTGGTCTTCCCAAAATTAAGCGTGAGTCAAATGTCCCGTTTTCCATGGATACTCTACGATGTCAACTTTGTCACATAATTCTGTTCTAAAAGAGATTTATGACTGTTAATTGTATTTTATCATGTCTATATCATTTCATATGTACCGAACCTTTTTACACCAGGGTGTTATCTGCTCCTCATTAAGTTCTATGTGTACGGAGCTTGTCCACTACACTTTTTTTTCCCTTCCAATGACTCTTTCTGTTTCACATTTGATTTAACTGTTATACATTTGTCATGGTGCGGTTATAAAGAGCATTATGGAAAGGGTTATGGATTTCATTTGTTCAATTTGAAGTGAGACACACGCAGTATTACAAAGTATTTTAGCATATTTTGGCTAGTCCTTTCTCATTCAATTACTTTTTAACCTTTTGGTGGTTTCATAAGGTAACCATCATAACAATGAAATAAATATAACAAATTTAAAACGTGCCTGGTTATATAAACTATGCTATATATCAACGGTTTTAAATTGAACATCTGAATTTTCTTTCTTTTTCTTTTTTTTTTTCTTTCTGGTAGTATTGGTCATAATCAGTTAAGGATTGTCAAATATGGTTAAATTAATAATAGTATTGTATTTTACATTTTACGTGTCACTGTCCAAATCCAGCTGCTGCTTCTAGAGTGAAGACAGTCTGTGTCTATGACGTCAAACTTTGCCTTCTTATAGTAAGAAGCACGATGTCAAGTGAGGAGAACAAACCATTGCATGACGCACACAGCCGATGATGTTTGTGGCCACGAATATGCAGACAGCAGCTTTTCAGTTCCATAAATGTGAAAATGTGTCTTTATTTGACTGTAAAAGTATTATTTAATTACATCAATTGGATTAGCTTTGATAGATGAAAACTGCACTAAGCCTGGGAGTTTAACGGATTATCTCAAAGGTGCATTGTGTAACTTTTCTGGTGGAAGGTCCATCAAATGCTTCTCTCCGTGGAGATTATTGCTTCGTTGCTTTGCCTGGAATGTTTCACAGTATGGCATTAACCCTTTTGATCTTTACGGAGACCAAACCAAGACAACTAACAAATCAGGATGCCTGTTTTTCTAGTTATTTTTGTGCTCTGAAACCACCTGTAATTGAGTAAATGCAAAGTAGAGCTGTTTAATGTCATACTGTGGAACATTCAAAGCAAAGCAATGACATATCCATCAAAACAAGCAGCTGACGGACCACCAACCAAAAAGTTACGCCTTTAAGCATCTTCTTACATTTCAAATCTGGGCTTGTGCAGCTAACCATGTCTTACACAATCAGCATTTTCCTCTTGTAGCAATGTCCATTATTATTTCATGCTCTGTGCTGGGAGTAGGGTCCTTGCATACGGCCATATTCTACTGGGAGACCTGCCAAGTGTCTGTTTACGCAGCGAGGCTCTCCTGGTGGTAGATCAGTGTGTCCAATGAAGTGTTCTCTTGACCATGAGGAGGTTATGTTGTAGTATTTCGACTGTTCCTCCATTTTGTCCCTACTCGTGTGTATACCAGATGTTTGTAAGATAATGATAAAGGGTTCTATTTGGGACACTTTGGAATAAAAAGATGCTATAAACCTGATTCATCTGATTTTCTGTTACGACTGTTCTCTCAAAAACATACCTGGAGTTGTGTTACAATTACAAGTTTAGAAATTTTGCCTATTTAGTTCACCTCCAGAGCTAAAAATAGTTAATCCATATGACTGTAATCCATGAAGCTCCTTTGTGTCTTTGTGGTTTTAAATCCATGTATGTTCACTACTCAAATTACCTCTAGGTTAGCAAATATACAGTATCTCTTACTCAGTGCACTTAGCTGTTGTAACTATATTAAAAGCCTACAGTGTAACTTTTCTATTTGTCACCTGCTTGTCTCCATGCTTGGAATTTTCCACAGTATTCTACAGTATTAAACTCTTATCTCACAGGAGGCAAGCAGGTGTCTCCACAAGCCAAATAGCAGGTCAGGTCGTCCATGGCAAAGCAGCTCACAGTAAGAAGGCCAAGAAGAAAGATTTTCCCCCCTTTTGTAATCGAAATCTGTAATTGAAGAAATGCAAGGTAAGTTTAATGTCATACCAAGTGCCTAAATGTGTTATGTTTCATTCACACGTGTTTAATCTCAACAATCTCAACAAAAGTAATGTAAAAACACAACTGCACGTATGTTTTTGATGAGAGCATTATAACATGGCTTAAAGCTCAGAGGAGTCAATTTTGCTTATTATAGGACCTTTAAACATGATGTCATAGTAGTACTACTTTCAGCCAGCAGGTGGGCATATTGAGCTATAGGTAATATTGCATGTGACAGCACAACTATAAGAGCGGACTACAGTGTCAAACGTTGCAGATTTCTCTCTCTGTTTTTTTTTTTTTTTTTTTTCCCATACGTAGCTAGAGCTTAGTCAGCACTTGACACGTTATGTTATACTGGAGGTTATTGAGACTGCACCGTATTCCGTATTCTTTCTGTGCGCATGATATGATCCCAGGAGCTAATGTTATCGTGAACATACCACCTACACACGCTCTGTCAGCACGGACTGCATCGTCTCATAAAACAGCGTCACGTCAATTAGACTATAAGCTTCTGAGCGTTAAGCCATGTTAAAATGCTGTTAATAAAAAAACATAAAAAATATATAAAAAAATAAAATTAAATAAATAATAATAATAATAACATTAATTTAAAATAAAAACATAAAATAAAATCAATATAAAATAAATAAAAATAAATATAAAAATAATAATAATAATAATAATAAATAAATAATAAAAAAATAAAATTTAATAAAATAAAAAAAAAAAAATAAATAACAAAAATAAATAATAATAATAATAATAAAAAAATAATAAAATAATACAAAAATAAATAAATAAAATAAAAATAATAATAATACAATTAATTAAAAATAATAAATATAAAATAAATACAAATAAATATAAAAATAATTTAAAATAAAATAAAAAACAATAAAAATAAAAAAAATAATATAAAAATAATAATAATAATAATAAATAAATAAATAAATAAATAAAAAAATAAAAATAAAAAAATAAAACAAATAAAATAAAAAAATAAAAATAAATAAATAAATACAATAAAAAATAAAATAAATAAAAAATGAAAATAAAATAAAATAAATAAAATGAAAAAAAAAAAAAAAATTAAAAACAACTTGGTTTAGAGTTCAGATATGGGTTGATTTAGGTTAAGGTATGTGTGTGTTTTGGGACCAAGAAATGCACATTACAAAAGAAAAAAAAAAGCCTCATTCTTCATCATTATAAAGTCAGCATTATTGTACTAGGTGAATTATTAAATTATTTAATTTTGACTTCATGGGACCCAAAAGGTAAAAGCATTAGATCCGTTCCTTTCTGCCATGTATTATTGAAAGCTTTCAGGCTCTTAGCTCTTCTCTATTAATAGGTGGTGGCATAAAAAGATTTAGCAGAGTTCTAAAAGAAATGGTGCTGGATCTTACATTACACCGGTCTGTCTGTCAGAATATGAGCTGCAAAACTTCACTTTGACCTGATGTGATCCTTCCACAGAAGAGTGAGATACTCAAAAAGTGCATGTTTTACAGGCGAATGCTCAAGTTAACATCAACAAAAATATTTCTCTTGGCAAACATATACACCAGATGCCCTCCCTGCAAAAAAACTATGATAGTTGTGGGGTATAGTGATTGAAGTTGAGTTCTGCCTAAGGATACAACAACAGTATGCATTAAGTGGGAATCAGTCTGCCACTCTCTGATCTTTTCCTTGCATATTTGAAGGCATTGAGCTGAGCATAAGTATGTACAGAAAAGTGTTTAGAATTATGGGATACGTGAAAATATTTTTCTGAGCAGTCAAACCATGATACAAAATACATCCATTTAAATACAAGCTTGATGAGGGAACACTATATTTTCAGCAGCCTGTAAGTCAGACCTATTTGAAAATTGGGAGATTGAGCAGAGGCCAGACTCAAATCTTCATAAAGTTTAACACATGTCCACAATTCAAACTCCGCCTTTGTAGCCAGGTCTAATCAGAAATACCTGGCTGTAATGCTGTAATTAAGTTCTGTGTGATGTCATGTAGTACTTCTATTTGACAGTTTTTGAACACAAAGTTGAAAATGTACCTATAGTTTGCTCTAAAATTGCCCCCCACCCCCTGCAAAACATCACTTTGACCTGACATGATCCTTCCACAGAAGATTGAGATATTCAAAAAGTGCATATTTTATAGGTGAAAATAACATTAACAAAAATATTTCTCTTGGCAAGTAGCAACATAGACAATGTTAAAACACCATAGACACAGTTTAACAGGGATCATCAAACTAAGGCCCACGGGGCCGACTCTGGCCCTCCACTCCCCTTTGACCGGCCCCCCCAGCACCTCTGCCCCCCACCACTTGAACTGGCCCTATGAGGCAACCCTCAAAAGTTGTCATGGCCTATTTTTTAAAATTACTTTTTAGTAACTAATAACACATATGCATCTTGTAGTTTGTTGATTTTTCCAATTAAAAAATGATATTTATATGACGTATATATATCTATATTAAAATTATTATCACGTTTGTTTATTTGCCGCCAAATTTGCCACAGAATTTTCATCACCTGACAAGCTCAAGATCAAACAGTGACAGTCAACGCATGCGCAAAGTTCTGTAGTGCAGTTAAGGACAGCAAAATGGCAAGTGTTAATGTACAAAAAGTTGGCAGAGAGATTTCAAGGAACAGTGGATGACTGATTATTTTTTTGTTCAATGCAAGGACAGTGCAGTTTGTTTGATACGTAAAGAAAGTGTGATGGTTTTAATCTGCGTCATCAGGGTCATACAATTCTGTTATACGACCGACCCGACCCCGGCCTCCATCACAGTCAGGATTGAGTGGCCCCCAGAGAAAAAAGTTTGGTGACCCCTGGTTTAGAAGCAAAAATGTGTGAATTAATGTTTATTGTGTTTTCAGAATAACATCAAAACTTAAAGGTCCTATATTACACAAAACTGACTCTTGTGAGCTTTAAGCCATTACTTCCTCAAAGACTAATCCTGTATTGGTCTCTCAAGATTTTCAAATCTCAAATAGCTCACTGGAAGCATGAGGTGCCACAATGTTTTCTGTTTGAGAGAAGAACCCCAAAATACAGAATGTGTGTTAAACATGTGTGAGGTTTTTTTTTTTTTTTTAATGAGGAAACAACATTAGATCAGATGGGCCCTTTAAAGTGTAAATGGAAAATATCTGTACAAACACAACTTCACAACAAAAATCCACGGCAACCTCATGCAGAAAACACATCTGCAGTAAACAAACTGTGATTTATGAGATGTTTGAATGAATCAATGTTTCAACAATTTATACCATGAGACAAATTGTAAAGTATTTGAACCCGGCACCCTCTTATGTAAACGCTGCCTGCCCACTTCCTGTTTCCACACCTGCACCCTGCTCCTCCGTGCCCTGAGAGCATCGCTGTGGCCTGGATGTTTAATCAAGCCCCGTGAATGAAAGATGTTTTGAGCTCTACCTCCTTCTCTACTCCTCCTCTCTCTCTCCTCAATATTATCGTTTATCGTCTATATTTTCATTAGCAATATATCACACTTCAGATTTTGTTACGGTGACAGGTCTACTCCTCTCCTTTGTGCCCTTTCGTCCTCCTCCTCCTCTTTCTCTCCTCTTCTTTCTTCTCCTTCTTTCCCCTTCCTCTCTCTTGTCCTCTGCATTTCTCCCTCTCTCCTCCTCACGTCTCCCTCTCTCTCCTCCCACTCCTCCTCCTCCTTTTTCTCTCCTTTTCCTCTTCCATTCCCCGTCCTCTCTTTCTTCTTGTTACTCCTCCCTCTCTCTCTCCTCCTCCTCCCTCTTCCCTCTCTCTCTTCTCACTCCTCCCTCTCTCTCTCTCTACTCCTGTTCTTTCCCCTCCCTTTCTCCCCTTCTCCCTCTTTCTCATCTCCTCGCTCCTTCCTCTCCCCTTCATCTCTTTCCTCTCCCTCTCTCTGTCCTCCTCCCTTCCCTTTCCTCCTCTCCTCTGTCTCCTTCTCTCCCTCCTTCCTCCCTCTCCTCCTATTGCTTTGCCTTCTCTCTCTATCTCTTCTCCTCACCCTCTCTCTCTCCCCCTCCTCTCCTCCTCTCCCTCCTCCCTTCTCTCCGTCCGTGTGTGGACAGTAGAGGAGTGTGGGAGTTTGGACATGAGCTGGCCGGAGAGTTCGAAACCGCGTGCCAGCAGAATTCTCGGGCTGGTTAGAAAAGATAAATATATTTCCCCCGTTTTTCATCCAGAGCGAAATGAAGACCTCCTGCTCCTCTTAGCAGCACCAGATGAGAACAAAAGACTTTTTCCAGCAATTAACGCCAATGGGGCTCACAGAATACACTTATATTTACGCTTGTTTAGTACATTCAATCAAAACTGACAGATATGTGTGTGCGTGTGTGTGTGTGTGTGTCAGTGCTCATACATTTTCATCAGTTGGATTTCATAATATTTCAGGCAGCATTGACTTTATGGGTTGAGTGTTAAACTACCAACTTAAGTATCTCTGGTAGTAGTGTTGTGTCCCCT